TTTTCGTATAGCGTAGACAGTTACATTATAACTTCATTTATTCGTGTCAATTCATATCAAATATAACTAAACTAATCAATAGTAAGTAGGAATGGAATGCTTAGTAGGGGTTATTGGTTCTTGTATTTTGGTGAATTTATAAATCTTCTTTGGATTTGATAAATTTATTGATTTCAAAATCAGCAAAATAGAAAAAATTCAAATCCACTCAAATACCAAGGTTAGACCTTGTATTTGGGTATTTGTATTTTAGTCATGAAAATCCTTCCAAATCCATTCAAATTCAATTAAAACTCAAATCTTTATAATATTTAGATTCTAAAATGATAGAACCAATAACACTGTATTTCATTATGGATTTTAAAATCATAGAACCAATAACACTGTATTTCAATATAAATTTTAAAATACAAGAACCAATAACACTGAATTTGATTTGGATTCTCAAATCTATTAAAATAAAAGAACCAATAACACCTCTAGACATTAGCTGACACATCTTTATTTTATTCAGGCAATAGGCATGCTTACGGAAATCAAAAATTAAAGGCTTTAATTACGTCGTGTCTTGGATAGTCGTCACGTTGTTATGTATAAAATTTACATCGAATATTTTATAGGTCTTTAAAAAATTTACGTCGACTAATAGTCAATTGATATAAAAGTTCAAAGAAAATATTGACGAAAGATATATAATAGGTCGATCATTTGTTAACTAATTCATTTATTTCTTCAAAACCCGATATCAATAACAAGATAATTTTTTTAAGTATTATTGTTTTTCTCATAATACTTTAAAGTATTGTCATGCATTGCATTCCATGCCTTTGACGTTAAACTTATAGCTCTCATCAGTGAAGTCCACCGCCGAAACCACCACCAGCACCGCCTCCAGCACCAAATCCACCACCGGCACCTCCACCTACTCCTCCTCCTCCTCCAAATCCACCACCACCACCACCACCGGCTCCACCTCCTCCTCCAAATCCACCTCCATATCCACCACCAGCACCACCGCCATATCCGCCTCCAGCACCTCCTCCTAAACCGCCGCCGCCTCCAGCTCCTCCACCTAAACCGCCGCCGCCTCCAGCTCCTCCACCTAAGCCGCCGCCGCCTCCAGCTCCTCCGCCTAAACCACCACCAGCTCCTCCACCAAGGCCACCGCCTCCTCCTCCACCAAGACCACCACCGAGACCATTGCTTCCTCCTCCACCAAGGCCACCGCCTCCTCCTCCACCAAGACCACCACCAAGACCACCGCCTGGATGGTGGAAGAACGTCTTTTGATCCTCGAGACCACTCTTAAGCTTCCTGTTAGCGACACTAGCAAATGAAGTGAAAGCTAGAGAGCCGACAAGTAAGGCGACAAGAAGCATTGACTTGGAAGCCATGTCGACCTTTATGTTTTGTGTATGTGATGATGAGAAACTCTATCCGTCATATAGGTGTTTATATAGACCATGTAGCATGAGATGAAGAATTGAAAATTTGAATAAAAAGAGAGAGTAGTAAAGTTTTAGAGTGAATAATTATCATTAATTCATCTGCCCATCTAATTCGTGTTGGAAAATTTAATGCAATCCCTAACTACCAATGTTGACTAACTAGTCGCTCACCCACATGTAATAGACCCTATACTATAGTACTCATGTTCTTGCCTTTCACATTTAAATTTGGCTATAGGGTTTGATGCATCCGACTTTCAAAATTATCTCTTATGCATGTAGTTATTTAATGTCTTGTTAACATGATTATTACATTTGGTAGTGTTCACCATTATCAAAATACTATATATATATATATGGCAGTACTGTTGACGGTTAAAAAGAAAAAATCTTTACGCATAATTACATTGAAAAAAGAGAGTAATAAAATATGAATAATAAAGGGCCTTAAACCTCCATGAGTCTCGGCACTACTAACATAGACTGTCTACAATTATTTAACTTATGCTAAATTGATATTTTAACAATTCAAATAGATTTTTCTATTTAGTTCTAAAGCAATAACAATAATTTTGATATTAATATTATTGATTATAGTTTGATGGTTTTAAACATATGTTTATAATAAATATTTGATAAATAAATAAATATTATAATTCAAAATAATTATATTAATTAATAAATCTTCTTCACATTTTACCAGAAAAAAAAAACATAAACTGTCTACATTCTTAACACTTGGATTACTCCGCTTAAGACCATCTTCAGAATCTGAATCTAGTACGTAGCTGGAACCTTCGTAGAAGACTATATGAATTGACCTTGAAACAATGGTGCAACAGAACTAATCCCAGAGCCAGCAGGTGCTGGAGATGGGGTTTAGATAGTTGTAAAATAGTTTTTGAGTTACTAAATCAGAATGATATTATTTCGAAAAGAAAGAAACAGAACGATATTATATGCCGGCGGTGAAAATTAATTTCAAAGTTGAACAGACCTATATATATATATTCCAAACTTTCAATAAATATAGTTTGGTGAATGGTTCACTAAATTTTTACTTTCAAATTTCTTGACTTGGACGAGGTTTGGAACTGACACACTTGCATAAATCAATCTCATTCCATGATTTTTATGTGAAAAAAATCATTAACGGTGAGCATTTGTACATATAGGAAAGAGAAAAATATGAGCCAACAGGTTTTCCAAACTTGGTGCTCTGCTTGGATTCATAGAATTCTTTCTTCTTAATTAATATACGTTCCATAATTTTAACGTCTAATAATAGTTGCCAAGGTTATGTGGTCCCAATAGTTAAATTTATGAAAATAACTTTAAACCAACTTAAATTAAAATGTGATTTTTTTTTATTTGTTGTCGAAAAACTGATCTAATTACAATTAAATAAGTCTAAAAAACGTTTGTTATAAACAACAAAAAGTCTGAAAACCAATTAAGTAATCATGAACAAAGTTAGTTTAAGGTTCTCTCTTGCTAGTTTTTTTGTTGAGAAAGATATCTCGTTAGCTAGTTTCTGTTGGGTATTTCTTCCAGATTTAATTTACTTGTTTTTTGGTTTGTTGCTAATCTTTCTCTTGTTTACGTATCCAAACAGGCTGCAAACACGTTGGACTATATAGTACATATTTTACACTTGAGATCTACAAAAATTGATAGGTTATGGCTCCAAGTATATATATATATTTTTTTTGTTCCATGGCTCCAAGTATACTATGTTGCATAAATTTGTATTCGAAGCTAAGATGGTCACAAACAAAATTCTTTTTTCTCTTAATTTGAATCTTACTTACCTTTCTTTCACTAATGGTAAGGTTCTTGCATCTTTTTCATTTCTTAAAGGTTAGTCATTTTTTTTGTATTTACCAAAATCTGGTTTTTGTGAAACTTGGATTTTATGAGTTTGATGCTTTTAGGAGGTTTGGATGTTTTATTAATGTGGTTTTAAAAAAGTTAGGACTTTTGATAAGTTTTGAAATTTAGCTCTTTTGTAGTTGAAAATATAGTTTTATTTGAAAATGATATAGATATGTATTTTGTTTTCTCGTTTGACTAATTCTTTTGAGTTTTATCTACTTCGAAATATTAGCTCTCATGTTGGTTTTGTTTCTTTTTGTAGATGTTGCATCATCCAATGATTCGATTTTCTAGAATTCTATCATCTAATAAGATATATTATTTGTTCCTGTGTTAAACATATAATGATTACTTTCTATATTTATTTAAATAAAGATACAGATATTTGGATGGAAAATCTAAAATAAAAACCCAATACCAAACTTTTTGTATAAAATGTATACTTTGAAAACTATACAAATTGAAAAAGAACTCAAATTGAACCTCATACGTACTAGAACTTGAATACTTTTTACTCGATTTTGAACTATATAAGACATGATTGTGTTGAAACCTTGCAAACAATGAAAATGTAAGAAATGTGTAACATTTTACCCCTTCTCCATCCAAAATGTAAGAAAGTACAAAAACAACAGAATGGTAGAACCTTTTATAAAAAAACTTCGTAAATAAAAAAAATTTGGAATTTTGTTTTTATTATCAAATAGAAATAAGCGGCAATAGTAAAAGTAAAAAGTGAATTTTCCCATCCCTTTTTAGTAACCTGATAAATCTGAATGAGCCAACGTTTTTCAAGTTGAGGAAAAAATTTGAACTTTAAATTCTAAAATTTCTTTCTTTAAGGTGTAAAAAAATTTGAACTTTAACATTAGATTCTATTTTTTTTTCTTTTCTTTTGGTGAGAGACAAGGGTTTTTAGAATACCTAATATTATTTATTCCTTTATATTTTTGGCTCTAGGTTAGGTTCTTTTTTTTTTAATTCTTATTCTTTTATTACATCATTTTTAATATAGATAGTATGATTATGATTAGTGAAAAACAAACTATGAGTAATGTTTATACATTGAAATGTGTATTAGGGAGAGTGGGTCCCATAAGGGAAAAAAAATGATGAATGACTTTTTTTTTTATCAAACGCAGATATTTGGCTGAACGAAAAGACGCCGATTTTTTATTTCGCGCCCTTCAGTCTTCACAACGTTGCTTCATCCCTTTTTCTCTCTCGTTCTAATTTGCGACAATGGAGGAGATGAGCGACACTGAAACCGAATCACAGGTATCTTCTATTCAATTTCTCTCCTCTCTCTGAAAATTCGCGGCGTCCTCTGATTTTGCTGCTCGTTTCCTGGGGAAGCTGTGATCAAAGTGTGAAATTTCGTTATCTAGCTTCGCTAGTTCACGATTTCGACAATTCAAAGCTTCGGATCTGTTTTTGGAATCGATCGATTTACATGATCACAATAGTACGGAGATTGATAAGCCCTAGATGCTCCTATTTTACCTAGGTTTGATCTAATCGGAACTAGTGCGAGTCTAATTGTTGCGTTGAGCTGATCGCAGAAACACGAATTTCATGTGATTAGTGCAGTCGAAAAGTTTGCAGATCCTCAGAACCATTCATACTTGCACTCTCTTGCATATTTCAATTGTACCAATTTGTTTCATTGCAATGCAGGTTTACATGGCTTGCATCCAGCACGGTCGCCGGTTAGTGATCGACTTCAGCTTCTTGAGTTTACATTAAATTTTTGCATAGGAGACATACAAATTTTCTTAATTACATATGGCAAAAGAGCATAGGAGTGAGTACTTGGGTTATCAGATGAAAAAAACTCATATCCTTCTCTTCTTTATGCAATTTGAGTTAGGATCAGTATCTAACTTGCGAAATCTTTTTCCCCAGAGTTGGAGTTTCTTACTACGACGCTAGTGTACGCCAGCTTCATGTGCTTGAAGTGTGGGAGGAAGATTTATCAGATTTTACCTTGATCAATATGGGTATAGGTTCTCAGATATGAAACTGAATCTTTACATGAAGTTGCCTGCAGTTTCTTGTATTGATCTACCACACTTTTAATGAAGTATGATTAAGTTTTACAGCTACTTCGCTGCATTTTTGTTATTTGTTATTTGTTCGCTGAATTTGTCTTGGTTATATGTTATTTCAGTCAAATATCAAGCGAACCCATTGGTCATTTACACAAGCACCAAAAGTGAAGAGTCCTTTGTATCTGCCCTGCAGAATAGTGGTATGGTGCTATTTTGTTGTGATTATGAGCCCTAAAGTTTATGGTCTTGGCATAATATCTTTGATCCTGCAGACGGAACTGACAAGAATACCACGGTGCGTCTGGTAAAGAGCTCAACATTCAGCTACGAGCAAGCATGGCACAGGTACAGAAAGCGTAGTTAGGTCAACTTTTTTCTCCTTATTTGTTCGGGTTTTTGGTTAGTCAGATGAACTCCCCATGAAAAAAGGTCTAGTTAGAAACTGTTTCCTGCAGTTCCAGTTTCTTGGCTCTATATGTAATAGCTTTCTTGGCTCATGATATTATATATCTTCTGTTTTACACTGATTAACTCAATATCGTGTAGACTGGTATATCTTCGAGTAACAGGAATGAATGATGGGTTGAGCATCAAAGAAAGGATTTGTTATGTAAGTTACAGCAAGGGAAATGTTAATCCCTCTTTACAATGGGTTTCCGACTAATAAATCATTCATTGTTGTATGAACATTCATTATATGCTTGTCAATTGCAGCTGAGTTCGATGATGGATGTGGGCAGTGAAGTCCAAGTTCGTGTTAGTGGAGGTCTCCTTGCTATATTAGAAAGTGAACGAATTGTAGAAACCCTGGAACAAAACGAATCTGGAACTGCTTCAATTGCAATTGATTCAGTCATGGAAGTACCATTGTATCCTCCAATATTTCTGTTCTGTTTCTTTCGTTTTGGTGAATATCATTTCCTGAATTTTTGGGATCGTAATGCTGCCTGCAAATCCTTTACAAAATTTTCAATAGAGACAAGTTTCTTAAACTTGATGCGGCTGCTCACGAGGCACTGCAGATATTTCAAACAGATAAACATCCAAGCCATATGGGCATTGGCCGGGCTAAAGAAGGGTAATTGGCTAAAATGGATTGGTTCAACTGTGGAATGTTATATCTTTTTTTTTCTGCTTTGACTTAACGAACTTTCACTAATTCTTTGAAACAGGTTCTCGGTGTTTGGGATGATGAATAAGGTTTGGTTTCCTTGCATTGGCTCATTCTGGTTGATTCTGCTTGGATATATGATTTAACTTAACCTGGCCTATTTCAGTGTGCCACGCCAATGGGTAGACGCCTTTTAAGGTACTAAGTTTGAATGATAGGTAAATGCAAACTGTCCTGCAGAAACTGATCTAATCTTAAGGTATCGGTTTCATTCTCTCTATTTCAGGAGCTGGTTTATGAGGCCAATACTAGATCTTGAAGTGTTAGACCGCCGTCTCAATGCTGTATCCTTTTTTTCCTTCTTGATAATGATATCTTGTGATGAACTTTGTCTTATGTCAAATAGAATAGGAGTTGTCAATCAACAAGCAAGAATAGTAACATACAGACTAAACTTTAAGTCTGCTTTCTGAAGCCTTATCAGCATAAAAAAAAACTAATCTTCAATTGTTCTGAATGGGAAAAAATTAGTTTGACCACTTACCGAGAAGTTTCTTTGACTGTATGAGATTTCCTTCTTCATTTCTTCGGTAGAGCTGATGACATCTTTGCGGGAGACACTGAAATCTGTGAAGGACATTTCCCATTTGCTCAAGGTAGGTGGGTACCATTATTCTATATACAGTATAATATATTTGTGTGGTAGCATGCCTGATCGCTTTAGTCATAAGAGCCCGTGAAGCAGATTCTGAATTAGAAACTAATGGCACAGTGAATAGTTTCCCTGAATTTGTGGTGTATATGTTAATTGTTAGAAATAGTGATATCAGTGTATTTTCTGCCAATTCTGTAGATTCCTTTTTTTTGTTCTGGTACACATTTTTTTTTTGCTGAATATCACATTCTTATGTTAAAACAAGAAATTCAACTCCCCGACGTCCCTTTGTACCAGTAATGATTGGACAGCTTTTACGAAGGTAAAATCTCTTCTTTTACTATGCAATCATCTTTCAGATGCTTTTCGTTTCCTTTCACTGATTCATTTCAGGCCTTTCCTATATTCTTAGATCCTCGAAGCAATTTGATTTAGTCTCGTTTAAAAATAGTTTCCCAATATAATGCTATCTTATTGTGTGCATCAGAGTATAAGTGCGCTCTTGCACGTAAATAAGATATTTGAAGTTGGAGTCTCAGAAAGCCTGCGAGAGCATATGAGACGCTTCAACTTAGACATTATTGAGAAGGTTACTATTGTTATCATCAAACAGCTTATGAAGCATCAAATGCTGTTCTCTCACTCTTTTATTCAATTGCGTATGACTAAGTTCTCTTGCCATTTTTCAGGCCGGCTTATGTATCAGCACAGAGCTAGATTATGTATATGAACTGGTCAGTCGATTTGTCTCTTCCATTCCGTTATAATCCATACTGTCCTCTTCGAAAGAATAGACCTAGAATATATGTGTATGAACTGATCCTGATGCTTTTAAATGGAGGTGTTAAACATCTCTCTTTTCCTTTCCTTGGAAAGATTATCTTGTTTAGTAATGGGTCATGAGAACAGCCATATGCAACATTGTTGACTGGCTAAAAGAAAATCAGCGGAAACTTATCCTTAAAAAGTTTCAATTCAAAAGTTGGAGACTAGTTTAAACAAATTCAGCTGGCTTTTGAGAGAGATATGTGTAGGGTATGTAAAACAACCATGACTACAATTTCAGTAACAACGAACTGAATCCACAGGTAATTGGAGTCATTGATGTAACTAGAAGCAAAGAGAAGGGTTATCAAACATTGGTGAAAGAGGGATTCTGTGCTGAGGTGATCATAGAAATTTATTTCCTTCAGGTTTTCATACCACTAGTATTTTTTTTTGCAAGTAACTCATTTCTTATTTTGCTAGTTGGATGAGCTGAGGCAAATATACGAGGAGTTGCCGGAGTTTCTGCAAGAGGTTTTTTTCTTTCTCTACCTGATAAGTTCTCTTAATTAATAACTGAGGGATGATCGGACATCTCGCTGAATGATTTCAATTTCTCACAGGTTTCATCGATGGAGTTAGAGCAGTTTTCTCACCTGCATGAGCAAAAGCTCCCTCCTTGTATCGTCTACATTCAACAAATTGGTGGGTCTACAGTTTCTCGATTTAGTTCTAACGTAAGCACTATAATACGTAGTTACTGGTTTAGCCAGAAAGATTCACCTCTTTCTGGAGCCACCGTCCTGGAATTATCGTTCACAACGGTGTCTTATGCGTCTTGATTGCTGGAGCCACCGTCCTGATAGCATTTCACTTTATGATTGCGTCTTTATTTACACTTTGATAACAGTTAGTTCCTTTCTGTGAATTAGTTACATTCTGTGAATAAATATATAACTTTTCCTCTGATTTATCTGTTCTGCAGGGTACCTCATGTGTATTTTTGGGGAAAAACTCGATGAAACTGCTCTTAATAGGCTTACCGAATTTGAATTTGCGGTATATTGTGTTTGTGTTAAAAATCTTGAAGCCCATATTTTGGATACTATGCATATATGTCAGTATGAAACATAAGTTTTAATCTACAAAACTCTCTTGTAATTAGTTCTCTGATCTGGATGGAGAGACTCAGCGCTTCTTTTATCATACTCCAAAGACAAGAGAGTTAGACAACCTTCTTGGAGACATCTACCACAAAATTTTAGGTAAGTCTTCACGCTGGTTAATAGTTTCTATGGCACATCCTTCTTGAGAACGATGATGTAGTGTTTTATTTTACAAAATTTTGCTAACAGATATGGAGAGAGCAATTATTAGGGACTTGCTATCACACACACTTTTATTCTCGGCTCACATGTTGAAGGCAGTTAACTTTGTTGCAGAACTTGATTGGTAATCAATATCCCAAAAGCTACTGAATCCTATTTCACTTCTAGCCTCTCCTCCTAGAGAAAAATAACACTTTTTTCACGGTGACTAATTAGCTGCTAATGAGTAATGACTTAAAACTACTCATTCTTCTTGGCTTTTGTAGCATTTTATCGTTGGCTTGTGTAGCCCATCAGAATAACTACGTAAGACCTGTTCTGACAATGGAATCATTGCTTGATATTCGAAATGGAAGGTGAAGACGACTCTTTTAGCTGCAGATATGTCTTATTGTTGCATTTGTATAGTTATGTCTTATTAATGCATTTATACAAAAACTTGTATCCTCAAGTTTCTATACTGGTGGGCAGGCATGTTTTGCAGGAGATGGCAGTGGATACATTTATCCCGAATGACACTGAAATCAATGACAACGGTGAGCTGGTTATTAGTTAAATTATGTTTGACTATACATGCGTGCATAAAGACTTAATTAACTTGTGAACTGGTATGTGTTCACCACCTGATTGTAAGCTTGTCCGGTCTCAGGTCGAATTCACATCATTACCGGTCCTAATTACTCAGGAAAGAGCATATATGTAAAGCAGGTCGGTTTTACTATCTAAGTCTTGTTACTCTTCTTACAATAAAACTGTATTTCACCATTATAGATTGACAACTCAAGCCGAGCATTCTTTTTGACTTGCTATTTGTAGGTGGCTTTAATCGTTTTCCTATCCCATATTGGAAGCTTTGTACCAGCAGATTCTGCAACTGTTGGTTTAACTGACAGGTCAAACGTGTCCTGCACTCTCTGTTCCTTTTAGAATCTCTTTTTCTTATGTATATCTTTCATTACTAAGATCAGTCTTACAACAACAGGATATTTTGTGCAATGGGAAGCAAGTTCATGACCGCAGAGCAATCTACATTTATGATAGATCTACATCAAGTAGGATTGATGCTAAGGTATCTCCGAACTACTTCTATCTTCGCTTGATTTCAAGTAACTTCACTACTGTGAGCCGGTCTCAATGGCTTTAGTCACTTGGTGCATTGTTTATGATTTATGAGCATGTTTCCAATGACTGTGATTGGCTTGCATTCTTCAGGCAGGCAACTTCAAGATCTCTGTGTCTCTTAGACGAGTTTGGTAAAGGCACTCTTACAGAAGGTTTGTTTCTTTGAGGCTTTCTGAGATCACTGCTTTGCTTACAGAAGGTCAGTTAAAAAAAAACTTGTTGCCTTACCTACAATCTAATTAAGCACAGATGGTATTGGCTTGCTTGGTGGGACAATTAGTCACGTTGCTACATGTACTGAGCCACCAAGGGTAATAGCGTTCTCTTGTCAGTCCACAAAAAAGCTTACATGTTCTCTTAGTACCTCCAAAGTATCCCTGTTACATGACATAGACTTTTTCTGTATGCTTTCAGGTTCTAGTATGCACTCATCTGACCGAGCTGCTCAACGAGAGCTGCTTGCCCGTTGTACGTACTCCAAATCAATTTCTCAATTAACTTCCCAAGTTTCAGGTCTTTTATTATTGCAGAAGTTCATCGCTTCATCCCTAACGATTTTGTTTTGGGTACATACTTAAGTCTGAGAAGATTAAGTTCTATACAATGAGCGTTCTAAGGCCAGACACGGAATCAGCAAACATGGAAGAAATTGTTTTTCTTTACCGGTATGAAGTCTCAGCGAGTAGCATTAATCCACCTAAACTGCCTACATTCTTAAGACTTCAATGGTTTTACGAGATGGTTTTGCTTGCAGGTTAATACCGGGACAAACGCTGCTGAGCTACGGTGAGCATTTTCATTCTTTTGCATTATTGTCTACATAAGTTTCTACTGTAAACACCAAATAACATCAACCTATTATTTATGCAATGCAGGTCTGCACTGTGCACTACTAGCTGGTACATTTACGAATGTCGATGTTGATTGGATCTATATACCAATTTTAGAGTAAAGAGTAACGGAAGGAATTTTCCACTATTCTCGAAGGTGTCCCGGAGGAAGTCGTGAAGAGAGCAGCTATCGTATTGGACGCTTTTGAGAGTAACAACAACATCGATAAACTAAGCCTTGACAACATATCGTCTCAAGATCAAGCATTCAAGGTCTTTTTGCTCTCTCTCACTTACATTATATTCTCTCTACACAAACTTACCCCTTGGCCTTACCAAACTTTTTACTGTACCGAATGAAACTTTCAGGCTGCTGTTGACAAGTTTCTGGCGTTCGACATCAGTACTAGTGACATCCGAGCTTTCTTTCAAGACATGTTCACTTCTTAAACCGAGTAAAATTAATAACTGAGTTCGAATGAAGGAAAGTAGTGTAAATCTTGATGAATAATATTAGCAATGCTTGAGAGTAAAATTAATAACTGAGTTCGAATGAAGGAAAGTAGTGTAAATCTTGATGAAATCATAGTAGCAATGCTTGAGAGTAATAATCAATTAGTATACAGTATATACCAAATTAACGGATGTTAAAGTTGTTAACGACTCCACTTGAGTCTATTTTCATTTGATTTTTCCCAAGTCAGCAGCATATTTTGTGGTATTTTACCCAATAATGATCGTACGTATGTTTGCTTTTGGAGTCCCTTCGTTATGTGGCCTCATTAGTCTTTCTCGACTTTGAGTAGTTACCACACTCACACGTGGTGCGTGCGCCCACTGAACTATTGTTTAATGTATATGTAATTGCATGGGAGATAATGGCAAATGCTAAAATGTTACTTGTGTATCTGCCTTGGTCTTTTCGGTCAAGGGCACATTTCACATTTGTAGACATAAAACACATCCACACATGAACATGCACATGTATACAAAATACATCCACACATGAACATGCACGCACGTGCATACGTGTGAGTATGTTTTGCTTTTCCATCCACTATCATCTTATATTGTCTTTCGAAGCTCTTCGTTATGTGGCCTCCCTTCTTGTCTTTCTCAAAATTTCTGGTCACTTTCTTTTTTAGGCTTTTCATTACTCTAACTCTGAGGGTGTAAACATACTCACACGTAAAAGAAAAAAGAAAAAAAAAACATACTCACATGTACGCGCATTCATACAAATTCATCGACATATTTAAGTTTATATCGAATTATAGTAAAATTTCTATAAATTAATATTCGATTCATTATTTTAATAAAATAATATTTTAATCAATTTTAAAATTAGTTTATCAATTAAATAATGTATTTATAAATTATTAATAATTATAAATTAATAATATTTTATAAACTTTTAAGTTTCCAATATTATTAATTTATAAAAAAATTATTGTATATATTAAATATGTAGGGTTGTCATTTAAAATTTGTTGCTATTTAATCAATTTAGTAATTAGAAACTACACATCTCGAACAAACGGCTATAGACGTTTAATATATCTATAAAATATCTTTACTAATTATTTTGGTTTGTTCTAGTATTAGTCTGTAAAATATGTAGCAATAAAAAATATGGGCTATGGTATTCCATAAATATCTTAATACACTAGTTAAGTCAAAATGAATCTTGATGAAGTAATTATATTAGCAATGCTTGAGACTCTTAAATTTATGCAACAAAACAAAACAAGAAACATAGACTCAATGGACTAAACTAAGACTAAACAAGTCTCATTGGCTTTCGCTAAACTAAATTCAACCAACAGAGATATTAGTTATGTTTTCCAGTTTGTTGAGTGCGAAAGTTGGGCAAGTGGTAAATTTAAGGATTGAGATTTACGAGTTTGAAATCACATGAAAACACAAATTCATTGGTTTTCTTTTGGTTCATGGGAAAAAGAATAACAATAAGAAAATAATAACATTGCCGGAAAATGAGTGTGGCTTAACCTTGGCTGCCACTGTAATTGGACATTGGAAGAGAGATGAAGCTCCTGGATTCCATTCAACAATGTGCATCACCTTTCTGGAAGATGAATACTGTACAAGAGCCCTAACGAAGACATGCCTTAGGTTTTGAAGATTGTCTACAGTAAGTTAGTAATCACTTCCTTGGAGGATGTAGGACATGCGGTTGCAGATCCTTCAGCTGTTGTCCATGTGGAAGCAGTTGATTGCTTGAAGGAAATCTTCCTCTTTGAGAAGAGAGAAGGTGGAGAATATGTTGTTGCTAGGCTGATCAGGTTCCCCAAATCTCTAGAGTTAAGGATGTTAGCTCTCAAGCTTGACATGTTGTTTGATATTGTGAATTAGCTATAGAATCCGAATCTCAAGCTGACCAAGGGGACCAATGTCAAGCTTGCTACTGTAGTTACTGCGACAAGGAGGATTTTAAATGAGTTGAAAATAGGAGAGGTGTGAGTTGGAGAGCTTGTTTGAGTAAGTATTCTTACTTTTAATTCTGTCATTACTCGGAGAAGTGGTTCCCTGAAGATGAAGAGTAGGAGAAAGATTGCACTGGATCTTGTGTGAAGCAAATTGCTGATTCTTTCTTCAAACCTTCTTCTTGAATCATTATTTTCTTCGTATTTTCTTATTAGAACTTGTATCTGTTTTGATTGGCTCTGAATTCTAATGCGGTCGTTTATTCGGTACTTGCTTTTGGTATCACATCTTTTGATTGATAATCACACTTTTGTCACGTTCCTTTACCTAAGTAATTCCTTCTTGCTAGATTTTCTAGCAACTTATCATTGGTTTATGTGGTGTGTCAAGTATAATTATTGATGAAGAAGCCCTTGGTGAAGTCTGATCTAAACTTTTAAATTTATTTCTGATTAGCTTCTTAATTTGACGGACCAGATGAGCATAGTTTAATGAGGTTAGAGTGTGCAACCTGTTGATACAGCCGAAAACAGAGTCCCCTGTTTCGGTTGATTTAAACATCCCGCAAAATTACTAATTTTGAGAATATGACCATTGGATTTGTTTGATATTTGACTGAAAAACATAGAGCATATAACCAAGAAAAAATTCAGGGAATGAATAACTAATGAGGTCGGGACAGTGTAGCATAACAAAAATGCAGCAAAGTAGCTGTAAACTTAACCATACTTCATTAAAAGTGTGGTAGATCAATACAAGAAATTACAGGCGGATTTGAGTTTGTCCTTATGATAACAAAATAATTCTTCATAAGCATTCACTATTATGCTCTTTTTCCATATGTAATTAAGAAAACTTGAAGTCTCCAATGCACACAATTCATGTAAAGACAAGTCAATTACTAATACGGCGACCATGCTGAATGCAAGCCATATAAACCTGCATCAAATTGGTACAGTTGAAATATGCAAGATTGTGCAAGTATGAATAGTTCTGAGGATCTGCAAATGGTCATATATTTTTTTGCTTGTACTACAAGAAACCTTGAAGTTTTTTTTTTGTTTCTTGTTTTCTGATGGCGGGAAACTCTCTTCCAATCTTGCTTATTTGAATGAAGTTCTTTGCAGAACCGGGCTTTCCCTGCCCAAAGAAGAGGAATCCTGTGAATGTATAAACTCAGACTTTGATACAGTCACTGCTACACTCAAAGGATCTCAGAGAATTCAGATGTGACAGTAACCACTAATGTCTTATTAATCTTTGTCAAGAACGTTGCGAAATTTGTAATCTTTTGGATGAAAGAGATATCTTTTAATTGTGTGTTCGTCTCTTAAATAAATGAATAAATGAAGATTTAACATTTCGGAAAGATGGGCTGCTTCTTGTGATTGTCTCAGCCCATTACAACTTTCTCTTTTGATCTGTTAATCAAGGTGACGCCGTTTTGGTATTTGTTTGATGTCTTTATCAAAATGCTGCCTTTCGATGACTCTGCTTCAGTTGGATTCTCTGCCTACATTTTAATGGGTTCTATATGGTACCCTTTGTTTGTTGGGTTCTTTCCTCTCTACTATAACCTCTCTACGTCTTAGATAATTTGTTGGTTGCGGAAATGTTAAATTAATAGAGGTGTGAAAGGTCCTATATGAATGGCTTCCTTTTTTTTACTGCATTCATTTGTTATTTCTAGACTATAAAATTTGAGGGTAAGTTTAGTTTGTTCTTAAGAAAATTTCATATATGATAGGTTTCAAAAAATTATATTTTTGAAGGAAGAAAATAAATGTGATTCTATTATAATAGAAAGTGGAACGAAATAGATTCAAGTTCTATTTACTCTAACCAAATGCTATGAAACTTCAATGCAGATCTTAGCAAGTTTGTTTCACAGAGTTTTACTTGTTGTAACGAGCAGTTAACTTAACTGGTATTGGATGATTCAATTTGATAGAATACACAAAAATTCAAAAATAATTAATTTTTAAGTAATTTAAAAATATGTAGGAATTTAAACTAATTCTATCAAAATCCTAGTAAAAATAGTAGGAATTGGTTTTTAACAATTTTTAGGTAAGATTCTATTAAATTCCTTCCAAATCATAATACAATCAAAGCTATTACAAAATTGAATAACACAAATATTTAATAGAATTGAAAAATTAGTATATTGAATAACAACTAGGTGTTTCTCCGCACAAGGTGCGGGGTTCGATTAAATTTTTCAAAAAGTATAACATTAGTTTATTTATAGATAAAAAAATCAAATTTTATAATGATTTGAAACCAAATTTAATATATTTGAAAAAAATACAATTTTCATGAGTATATTATTTTTTTGTGACAAAGCAAAATATATTATTTATATCTTATTTCTAATATCTTTTATATTATCCGATAAAAACTTATATGTATGCTTTATTGTTTTGTTGTATTTATCAAATTTTATAAACAATTCTCTTCGTTTGATGTAAATTGGTAAATTAAGATTAATGATATTCAAAGTTTGCATAAAAAAATATAGCAATCTAAAATGACCAAAACCAAAAAATCTTTGTTTTATATCAACTTAATATTAATTAATATATATAGAGTTTGAAAAGGGTTTAAATGATTTAGGATTTTACTTGTGGTCGCATAAATTAATTAGGTTAGTCAAAAATATTAGTAGGTTAAACAATTAAATTAAAATTATTTTAATGAAATAATCATGATTTGTTTTTTTGATTTATGCTAATTACTTTTTTTTAGTAAACTGAATACTATTATGAAACTCGATTTTGGAAATCTAGATTTAAAAAAAACAAAAATTAATTAAAAATAAGATTATATTATTTTGTTAATTTTTATTAAGGGTAATTAAAGTAAATTCACATAAGGGGCAAAAAGTAATCAACCATCATAACTCTCAACCACAGTCCAACTTGCTTGCCAATTAATAATATGATGATATTTAAAGGATTTTGAAAGAATGAATGGAAACACTTAATCCAATAACAGAAGTATTTAAAAGAATTAATAAAATATATCATTGAATAACACTGATATTTAATGAAAACTTCAATTCCTTTCAATTTAATCCAAATTCTAAATCTAATACCCCTTCGATTCATCTCTTCATCTATTAGGTTTGTTTTTCTTATGGATTTTTTGACTTT